AGGGTCTTTGTGAGCTTTGAAAATAAGCAAGATTGGCAAGCCTCAGTAATGAGGAGTTCTTTCCATTTTGAGTTGAAACACCAGAACAAGAGGCTCTTTATAAGCTAAAAACCTGTGCTTTTTAGAGCAGATGGCTTCTAGCCTCATATTTCTAAGACGAGTGAGATATAGTCAGCGAATATAAATAGGAAAAAATTTAAAGAGGAATAGAGATGTAAGTCCTAATATGGCATCTAGAATAAATCACAGGCTACAGGCTTACTTCAGAAGAAGAAAGTCAGAACCCTAAAATCACTCCTCAGAACATTGAAAATAAGTAAAAGTTTCTGATGTGGCTAGACAAAGGGCTCCTGTTACAGTGGCCAGTATCCCCGCACCAAAGAGCTTATGGTAATGCCCAGAAGAGGATCTGCCTTTTAACTTCTGTTCATAATCTCTCCTTCGTTCCTCTCTGCATTCCTCTTTCTTTTCCTCCTCCCACTTTCCTTCTGGGCATTTATGCATTTGCCTTCGTTAAGGAAAAGGTAAAAGATTCAAAATTTTTGTTCTGATTTTTCACAATGAAAAATCCCAAGAACTGAAAGTGCACAGAAAAGAAGGTTACTGTGTCTGGAGAGTGGCCATCTAGATGCGTAAAAGAGAGTTGCTGAAGGCTAAAAGATGTACCAAATCTGTAGAAAGGAATTGAAAGAATCACAGAAATTCTAGAAGAAAAAATTCTATTTTTTGGAATCTCAGAGACCTTTGAATGAAAGCCAAATTCCCAGAGCATACCTCAAACAGAGGAATTGACAGAATGGGACCCCTCATGAGGCTGACTCAGGAGTAGTACTTACACCACACTGTAAGGAAGGACATCACTTCTTGACGCAGTCATCATTTCTTCCAGCTTTGGAGAAGGTGACAGGAGAGCCTCTCCCCCACCCTCACCCTTCTTCTCGGCCATCCTTGCTGCGTTTCAGCCTGCAGCCTGTGACGATGCAGAGGAAGCCTGGCGCAGCCACATCAACCAGCTCATGTGCGACTCTGATGGCTCCTGTGCTGTGTACACGTTTCACGTGTTCTCCTCCTTGTTTAAGGTACTGTGCTCACCTCAAGTCAAAACAGTTGGGCTCTCTTGGGAGCCAGCTAACTTCTCATTTAAGAAGGGATTGCTGTTTAGTTCTGGGTTTATACTATTTTCTCCTCCAAACATATTCATTCTCTCTCTCTCTCTCTCTCTCTCTCTCTCTCTCTCTCTCTCTCTCTCTCTCTCTCTCCTTACTCCATCCTTTCTTCTGTTCAACCTTAATCTACTTAACCTTCTCACACTGGTATTGTGAAGATCTTGCCCTCAAATGACCAGGGGGGTGAGGGCATGAGTGAGGGTTGAGGGAGCAATGGGGGGATAAGGACACATATGTAATACCTTAATCAATAAAAAAAAATGACTTAGTCTGCCATGATGTCCTGCTCACTTCTGACATTCTGGCCCTTATTGGTGCCATGAATCCCAAGCCACCATGATATCAGGACCATTAAGTGAAATCTTCCTCCAAGCCTCTCCCCTATTTCTGCTTTTCTCTGAGACCTCTCCTGCATCTTTTTTCTTTGTGTTTTTCCTTTCTTTGTCTTTTATCCACCCTATGAATTCCTTAAACATGCTAGGTGTGGCTATGAACACTTGATTATTTCCTTTAGCTGATTCTAAACAGATGGAAGGTCATCATTTGAGTCTGCTGTGTGAACCACAGCCCATCTAGTCCATTTAATGCCCTTGTGCAAATTGGAACCAATGTCCCTCCCACTACTAGACTCTAGCGAGGGTTGCAGTACCAGGTGTGGCCAGCAGGAGTGGGAAGGCTGGATTTCACACACACACACACACACACACACCAGCCAGGTACCTGGGGGTCTTGGACACACATAGCTATATGTAAGCATCTTTTGTGTGGGCACCTTCAGATTCAACTTGTTAGCTTCAAGCACATTTTAAAATGACTCAACTACAGAGATGGCAGGAACTCAACTTCTGGTTGGTGCTTAAAAGTTTATTTTTATGCCTACCTATCTCTGGTCTTGCAAAATTGTATTTGTCTTGCTCTGAACATTTACTCTCCAAATTTCATCAAAAGTTGGCAGAGGTGGGAGACAACCGAAGAAGAGAAAAGGTGCCTTCTTAGGAAGAAACTCAAAGGTCTTCAAGCATCATTGTAGTTAACTAGCCTTGTGTGCTGTGTTTGAAGCAGGTATTGACTCAGCCAGGAAGATGAGGTCATAGTTAAAGATTTACTGACATGGAAACATGGTTACCATATAGTTTAAAAGAAAACTGGTGTTAAAATATATGTAGAATACTGATCCTCTTTTTAATGCCTAGAAAATAATGAAGATTATACACTAGCATTTCATTGTAGTTTATTTGGGGTAATAAGATTATGGTTGTCTTTTATTTTCTTCTTTTTATTTTATTTCAAGTTCCTATTTTCCTATAATAAAAACGCTTTTTTTGAATTATTTTCAGAAAAGCATTTTTCTTAACTTTATTTTTAATAATGCATAAAACAGAACTGCCACTGATAATACAAGGAAAAAATGGAAAATAACTATGCAGTTCCAACTTTGGACATGAATAATTGATAGATAAGTGGGGACACGAGTTAGAACCCAAGTAAACATTGTTAGATGTTGAGTTCTGTAGAGTATATCAAATTCAGGGACGATGACTTGGTTAGACTCAAGGATGAGCCCTCTAACCACCTTCAGAAAGAGCAATGGCAGGAATACAAGGAAGTATATTAAAAGTGCAAAATGAATAAACTGGGATCATCTGCCTTAAATCATTTTAAATTAAAGAAGTTGTCATTTAGTTAATATAGAAGTGAAGTCTGTTTTTCAGCCCAGAGGCCCTTTATATGACCCATTTTTTGTAAATTTTAGGCCATGGTTACTCACTGAGTATTATTTGTGCTGCTCTCAAGTTTTTCAATTTACTTTCAGTGGAACCTATAAAAAGTTTAAGTGGACAAACTAAGATTGTGTCTGAGATTAACTGGGGACTGTAAGAGCTGCCAGGCTTAAGTCTGAAAACAGTTGGCTGCTTAAAGATAAAAATTCCAGAAACACCCTAACATTAAACCAGATTGAAATTTAAAAACAAACAACCAGAACGCTACCATTTGAGGTCATTTTCATTGTTAAGAGTTCAGAAGCAAAGTAATTTCTTATTTAGATTGTTCTAAAGTGTATTTTTAAATAATGGTTAGTAATGCATATCTAAGTTTGGCTGTTGTAGTAACTTTGTCTATTTATAGTTACTAGACTATTCATGCTCAATTTTATAGTCCTGAGCAATACTTTTCTCTCTGCTTAGAGAAGTCATCACCTCTTGTACCTGAACTATCCTCCAGATTACATGCAAATCCCTGGTTCTTCATCACTTCAGTGAGTGAAGCCTCCTTATGACTTTGACTACCCAGTAGCTGGCACCTTCACTAGCACACAGTATGTGCTCAGTAAATGTATTAGATGAATCCTCATGGAGTTTATCTGCAATAATAATACAAATGTGTACCTCCTGTTTTGGTTTTAATATAACATATAGCCGTAAGAACTTTCTTAACTACTACCAAATACCATGTGATTGAGAGCAATAAGAGTATCAAAATGTGCTAGAATTGAAATACATTTCAAACATGGAATCTATTAACCTCTTGTCATGTCCTCACCATGTCTGTTTACTATTTTCCAACATTTCCCTGTGTATATGAACACCACATTTTCCTGTATTTCAGTGGTTTTTGGAGGAAGCAGAGAGGAAGTAATTGCAAAAATAATTTGGTTTTAAAAGCTAGGAAATGGTTTCTAATGACCCAGTTTGGACATCTTTCCAAGTGTCTTGGGCAGTATATTTCCTTCCAGCTGCTCTAACACTAGAATATTGTCATTGCATCTTGTCATTGCATCACCCAGTGCCACCAAATTATATGAAATGTTCAGATGAAAGTCAGGAGGACAAAACTGAATTTATGTCCCTTAAATAGCACCTACCTTTTTATGTGGCTCTAAAGTTCCCTGGAAGATCCAGCTTCTCAGTACAATAAACAATAAATCCAGATTTCACCTTATCCATAGGTAAATTGAGAACCACAAACATT